GTCACAGCCTCTTAACTTGTTCACCAGTATGGAGGTGGTGGACTTCAGGAAAGCCAGGAGGCTTTCCTGAAGTCTAAGTAAACAACGTCAACCCCTACTCCTGCGTCCAGGTGTTTTGTAACCTGGTCATAAGAAGAGACTAGATTAGTCAGGTATGATCTACCTGCTATGAACCCATGCTGGTTTCCCCTCAGCATAATTTTTCCTGCTGGGCTCTCGCAAATGTGAGCCTTGATAATCTTTTCAAAGACTTTGCCAAGGATGGAGGTGAGACTGACTGGCCTATAGTTGCCTGGGTCCTCCTTCCTCCCCTTCTTGAAAATCGGGACCACATTGGCCCTTTTCCAGTCCTCCGGGACCTGGCCCGTGCACCACGAGTGTTCAAATATTCCCGCCAGTGGCTGTGCAATGACATCAGCCAGTGCCTTCAGTACCCTCGGATGGAGCTCATCCGGGCCTGCTCTCCTTAATCTCTGGTTTTGTAGGTGTTCAGTGTTGCTAATTAACTGGCTACATTAGCTAGCAACTGTGTTTTGAGCTGGTCCCTGAGTGAATCATGATTGATTGGTAACTGATAACACAGTAGCTTAGCAGCCAGTCCTGCAGTAGTTTCCCCCCACTCCTGCCCCAAGACACAATCAGTTGCACAAGCACCCATGTCATGAGGTTTGCCTGTCAGCAGTTAGAGGTGCAGGGCCTCAGAACCCAGAAGCCCTGCACCTATCTCCTCGACAGCTGGCAAGCTTCATGGCGGCAGCAGGGGCTACCATCCCTGCAGCTTTGACCCTGCTGCACCTTAACCCACACAGTGTCATCCATGTCATGAGTTTTGCTTGTCTGCACCTTGAGGTGCAGTTACCCCCAAACCCATGCACTTACCTCCTTGAAACTTGGCAGGCTTCATGACCTCAGAAGGGGCTACTACCCCTGCCGTTTTCAGCCTGCTGCACATTAACACACACAGGGTCATTTGTGTCACGAGTTTTGCCTGTCGGCAGCTTGAGGTGCGGTTCCCCCTGAACCCCTACACCGATCTTCTTGAAACTTAGCAGACTTTATGGCCTCACCAGGGGCCACCACCCCTGCAGTTTTCACCCCCCTGTGTTGTAACACATAGACATGACATGAGTTTTGCTTTCACAAATTTGGGGTGCAGTTCCCCCCGAACCCCTGCACTTATCTTCTTGAAACTTGCCAGGCTTCATGCTCTCCAAAGAGGCTACCACTCCTGCAAATTTCATCACAATCATACAAAAAAACCCCTAAGTTATAGATATTTCATTGATTCCCCATTATACCCTATGGCCAGATCTCCGAAGCAGCTCCGAAACTTTTCCGAAGCGCTTTGGCAGCTCCAAACCACTTCAGAAAGCCTAACGAAACCAGTGCTTCACTCTGGTTATGCTGCTTTGGACACTGAAGCATCTGAAGCTTCTCCAGATCCGAAATAGGGTTCGAAGCCTCTCACCGCCCTAGTGATTTCTCCCCCAGCATTCCTCCAAAGGGATCTAAGCAGCTACTAGCAGTCTACAGTGGGACTGAAATCCCATTTCAAATCTCTGTGGGATTCAAAATGGGATTCCTCTGCCTAGCTTTTCCATTGCATGATTTCATGACATGAAATGGGATTTGGGTTATAGTGGGTACATCTACATGAGTCACTTAATGACCATTGGACTAATTCTACTGTTCATTAGTGCAGCTGGCAAAATCTGTGCTAATGTGAAGTAGATTAGTCCAAAGGGCATAAAACATCACTTAAAAAGTGTTCATCTGCTCTAATGCAGTGAAACTTTAGTTGAATGGGCACTAAGCGTCACTTAAAAAGCATTCATCTGTGCTAATGTGCAGTAGCACCATTTACAGCACATCAAGTTAGTACCTGGTATGGCACATTAATGAAAGTGTAGACACAACCACTGTAACTCATTTTAACTAAAAAATGGCTTGTATGCAGGGAGGGGCACATCCAATGAAGTAAACCCTCTGCTTATAAAAGTTTAGGTTATACAGTTCTGATTTAGTTGTTATATATGGTGCAAATCTGCCCTGCCTTTTGTATTGAGGGACCAGCCTGATTAGCAAATGAGGATTTCAAGACCATACTTACTTGGCTGAATTGCACTGGGGTATAGTCATGACTTGGTTGATGAAGTCTCCCACTTTTCAACATACTTCAGGCACATGCATGTGACAACCGCAGCACAAGAAGATGTCATGCATTGTTGTCTAAAATAGCCTCACAACATGCACAGTGGGTGTTCTGGCTGAGAAGTGAATTGATAATGTGGCATCTGGAAAAAAAAGAATAAAACCTTTAATCAAGAAAAAAAATGATGATGATCAAGAGACCTCAGTCTGGAAACTGCAAGCTATCTTGGTGCCTCAGCAGTCTGCTAAGTGCAGCTGCTACCCAATCTTCAGTTTCAGTTTTGATTAGTTTGCACCCGGTGAACCTCTAATTATTTTTTTCCTTTTACTGTCCATTCATTTGAACCAGAAATCATCACTCTTGCTTTTGCCCCCATGGTAATTACCCCTGCACATGGAAATAATACCTGCTTCTCTTACCTCAGCTGCTGACTTTTCTCTTTAATGATTATTTTTGATTGCGAGATTTAAAATAACAGATCTAGAGAGTGGTATACAGTGAGTCATCTTTACTGCTAATGTCAGCACGGTGTAACAAGCCCATTTAAATTCATGCAGGGTTAACCTGGCGGGATTGGTTGCTGTTATGCTTTATGTATTTTTAAGAGGGATGCTAAATTTTATATAGGTTTACTTTTTTACATTAACATAATCTCTGAACATTAAACATGATATTCTCCCTGATGTTTGGAATACAGTAGTGCCCCATTGCAGTAGGCAGTACACAAACAGAAAGACGGACAGAAACAGACAGAGCCCTCTTCTAAAGAGCTCACTGCTTACGTGGATGAGACAATCAAGAGGATGGGTAAGGAAACAAAGGCTCAGAGTCCTGAATTGATTGGTCACACAGCAGGCTACTTTCAAGAGTCCAGAATAGAAACTAAGTCTCCTGAACTTCAGCCCCATTTTCTGTCTAGTGGACCACATCACCTTTTAATCTATTGTTATTCTTATTGTTCTTTCTTTATAGTTCGGGATCGGGTACGATCAAAAATGGAGAGAGATATTTTGGCAGAAGTGAACCATCCTTTCATAGTCAAGCTTCATTATGGTAAATATAAAAAAAAAAAAAAAAAAAGCATTTGCATTTACTCTTCAGTTTGTGGGGTGGAGAGAATTGTAACCAGATATGTTATTGTTTCACATAACTATCCTCTGCTCAGTACCACTCCATTTCTACTTATTGCAGGTATGTCACTAGTATGAGAAATTATTTTCTAGTCCTTGTTTCTTTGGAAAATTTCAGCAGATGGAGATCTTGGCTCCTCCTCTGTGAAAGTATATTAGATATAAAGTGTAATGTGATGCTAATGTGCTGTGAGGAGGTGCTGGTAGGATAATAAATATGAATATAGCAATCCCATCATCCACCATCATCAGGGGAAAAAATAGGAAACCAGAGCATCTAAGAATTAAAACTTGTTAATAATCAACACTAAGTAATTAAAATGTCCATAAATTAATGTAACAGCTTGCTTTATGGAAAGCAACTTCTTGCATACAACTGCTTGTCTCAACCCAACTGAAGAGTCCCATTGTTAGTGCTAAGGGACTTATGTGAACATTTTGAATAGGCAAAGCTCCCTTCTACAGTTTTAGTGCCTTCTGTGCCCAGCTATCTTTCTTCCTTCCCTCTACTCATTGTAAAGTGGTATTAGACCTACAGATACTAGGAATGGAAGGAAAAAAAATGTTAGTTATATACATCTATCTCCCAGCTAATGTCAGATTATTCCTTGTGGCCTAGGCAATATTGCACAATTTGGTAGAGAAGCTAAATGATTTATTTAAAAAATGTGAAAGCTTAAAATGATAGGAGAATTATAGATTGGACAGTGTGGAATTAATCAATAATATTCATTCTTTGGAGACTGTGTAATGATTAAGACTTCCAATCTTTCCATCCTTTTCTAATGCAGCATTTCAAACAGAGGGGAAGTTGTATCTAATACTAGATTTCCTGCGGGGAGGGGACCTTTTCACACGGCTCTCTAAAGAGGTAAGCCCATAGATTTGTGTGAGAAATCAAAAAAAAATGTTCTGGATTTTCAGAATGCAAATAAGGTTGACGGAGGTGGGTGGACCTCTGGGCGGGGAGGGGGCGGGGGCAGTCTCCATTCTAATATAACTGAATTAAAGCTATAATATGTTATAATTTCTCTAAGCATATTTAATACTTGTGTTTACATCATGTAACTTTGTGGAGTGCTGCCTCATAATATCCAGTCATTGGTTGCTGCTTCTTAGAAGCATAACCCCAGGCTTGCTAGCAAGATGCTTGGGCTGGCTGTAATGGGGAGAGAGTAGAAGTACCCAGCCAGATTCTCTACCTGGGGATGCTCATGCCTGAGATGACCACGTGTGGCAGGACAAGTTCTGAATGATAAGGTAGCCCTTGTATTTCCCTACCATTCAGTATCCTGACTTCCAGTGAGTAAAATTCCCATCTCTTTGTCCAGTTCTCTCCTCAGTCTGCTGACCTTATTGCAACAAGGTTCATTTAGTTAACCGGCTAATTGCCTTCCTCCCTGGGTTGTTTCTGAAACCTTGGGAATTAATACAGAATCATGATGGGCAAGATTTGGTCCCACTGAACTGTGTGGCAAAACTCCCATTGACTTCAGTGAGGCAAGGATTTAATCTGCTTTGTGTCTCCACAAGGTCCTCTGGAGGCACTGTCAGGGCAGGGCACAGCAAAGCTGTCAAGTCCCATGAAAGGAGCACTGAGAGTCTTATGGCACCATGCCTCAGCTTGTTAGCCCTGATCTTTTTCTTCTGTCCCAATAATACGTTGCTCAGACATGAAGAGAGATGGTAACTAATCCTTCAACTTCAGTGATCTTTCTCTAATTTAATGAAGACTGATCCAGAATCCTGGTTCTCATTTCCTGTGTTACTTTTAATTTTTGTTAAAAATACATCATTCATAATACCGCACCTTTTAGCCTGTATAGAACATTTGGTACAGACAGTATTCCGCACTGCTTTACAGTTTAAAAACCTATAGCATGATAGTTACATAACAAAAGAAAGCAGAGAGGAGAAAGTTCAGACATGCACACAGGAAAAGAATTATTTTCAGGTGAATTCTAAAAAGAGAAAGACAGAATGAGGAAGAGAGACAGGATATAGACAGGGGCTGCAACAAAAAAGGCTTTTGCATTGGTCATGATACAGGCTATGATTTTGGTACAATAATTTTTGGTAGATTATTGACAGCATTGTGAGAGAAAATAATATTCATAAAAAGGTCACCAGTTAGATAGTTTTCACTATATCGGCATACAGAGAAGCTTTTAAATAATGCTGTATTTGTTATTAACACCATCACTGCTGTGTGCAATTAAAATCATTGGCTAATAAAAAGGTTAGCTGTTAGTTTGTTTAGCAGAATTAATGGCAGCTTGTACTTGCAATTAGTGTCTTCCTTGATTCTGAAACAACATGTCATACACTGTGAAGCTGTCATCATCAGTTCTACATCTGTCATTTTGTAAGACCTCTTTGTAAGGGGGAAAAAAAAAATCTCTCTCAGCCTGCAGTGTCAATGGGCGCTGATAGACTTGCCAAAGCAATAACACCCAGCATTGGAAAGCAATCATCCGAGTCATCCAAAAACTCAATAATGTTCAAGCACTTCATATCATAAATTGCAATATGGAACCTACTGAACTCAAATTTTACCAATGTGTTATCCTCAAATGTGGAAGTGACATCAAAAACATTTACTGATGCAAGGTCAAGATATTTGATTTGACAGGGAACAAGTATTTGGCAAATCCTGAAATTGAAGCAGATTGGCAAAAGTAGAAACATCATACATGTAAATTCGGGTTTTCCTGCAGAGTTTATTGCTCCCAGGCATCACATTGGACCATGCACCTGGGACTGCAGCATGTTGAGCCAGGACAAAGCAACTCCAGCTGGCAGGGAACCCCAGGGGCCAGTCTGCCTGCTTGGGGCTGCTCTGATTTAGCTCAACATATGGCAGAGGGGCTGGTTGGGGCATGAGGGTGCTTGCTACAGTGCAAGGGCTAGCTGGCAGGCAGCCCCCACACTGAAGCACCCTCATGCCTTAGCCAGTCCCGTCAGTGTCTACATGTGCACTGCTGTAGGATAGTACATGTGTCTGATAGTACTACCCTATGGCAGAGTTAATTAATTTACTAGTTTTACTGTGGAGCTAATTAGCCAGCTCCACAGTAAACATCACGTGTCGTAAACATCACGTGTAGATGTGCCCTGTGTGTAAAAATGTAGATAGGAGTGTGGGTCTCCAAAGTGAAGGAAGTTACAGGAGGGGAGAGAGAGATAAGGTGCATGTGAATAATGCAAACCAGATTTCTAAAGCATTGCTCTAAACTAAAAGGTGATGTTTTTAAATTTACAGAGTGTAGTCATAGTAAATAGTTATTTTTTGGAAAAAGTACTACAGTATTTTCACTTACAGATCAACTTTGGTCTTGCCTCTTGCTAGTAGAAGATAGGAAGACAGAGAAGGGCAACAAGGATGATTAGTGGTATGGAAAAGCTTCCATGTGAGAAGAGACTAAAGAGGCTGAGCCTCTTCAGTTTAAAAAAGAGATGCTTGAGGGGGAACATGATAAGGATTTACAAAATATTAAATGTTGAAGAGAAAATATATAGGGATTTATTATTTACTGTCTCTCACAATACAAGAACTAGCAGTCATAAAAGGAAACTAATTTTTAAACTAACAAAAAAGAAGTTCCTTTTCACACAGCGTGTAATTAAAGTGTGGAACTCATTGCCACCAGATGTTGTGGAAGCAGAGGTTTAGCCAGATGCAAAAAGGGATTGAACAGATTATTGGAGGAAACAAGCATCAATAGCTATTGAGCATGGGAGTTAGGGGTACAGCCACTGAATTCAAACTTTCTAGCCTTTAAATGGTAGAGGCTGGAAGTGAGAGAGGAACAGTGGAAGAAAGCCTGGTTATACCCACTTCACGCTCCCTTTCAGCATCTATGCTGCCTCTGTGCAGCACAGGATACTAGGCAAGATAGACCTGTGGTCTGACTGAGGAACTGGCAGTTCTTATGGTTTTAAGAACATTATATTCTAGGGATACCAGTGGTTATGCTCATCCAAAGTTAGAAGTCTCAGACAGAACCCTTGAGCAGGATCCTGGGCAGGATCCCCTGGGAAGCCAGTCTGAGGGAAATAGGAGTCCAGGTGAGCTGGTTGTATATTAAAGAAAGCTTACTGGGGGTGCAGTAACAAACCATCTCAATGTGCAGGAAGAATAGGAAATGTGGCAAGCAACTAGCTTGGCTTAGCAGAGAACTCTTCAGTGAGTTTAAACACACAAAAGAAGCTTTCAAGAAGCAGAAGCTTGGACAAACAATTTGGAAGGAGTATAAGAATATTGCTTGGGCATGCAGAGATAAGTCAGGAAGGCCAAAGCACAATTTGAGTTGCAGCTAGCAAGGGATGTGAAGGATAACAAGAAGGGTTTCTACAGGTATGTAAACAACATGAGGAAGGTCAGGGAAAATGTGCAACCCTTACTGAATGGGGGAGGCAACCTAGTGATGGATGATGATGAAAAAACTGAAGTACTCCAATGCCTTTTTTACCTTGGTCTTCACAGGCAAGGTCAGTTCCCAGACTATTGCACCAGGTAGCATAGTTTGGGGAGAAGATGAGCAGCCAACAGTAGTGAAAGAACAGGTATGGGGCTATTTATAAAAACTGCATGTGTACGAGTCCATGGGGCTGGATGCAGTGCATCCAAGGGTGCTGAGGGAGTTGACTGATGCGATTGCAGTCGTTGGCCATTATCTTTAAAAACTCATGGTGATCAGGGGAGGTCCTGGATGATTGGGAAAGGGCAAATATAGTGCCCATTTTTAAGAAAGGGAGGAAGGAGGGTCCAGGGTACTATAGGTCAGTTAGTCTCACCTCAGTCCCCAGAAAAATCATGGAGCAGGTCCTCAAAAGAAACCATTTCTAAGCACTTGGAGGAGAAGAAGATGATATTAGGAACAATCAAGCCTGGATTCACCAAAGGCAAGTCATGCCTGATTAACCTGATTGCCTTCTATGATGAGACGACTGGCTATGTGGATGTGGGGAAAGCAGCGGACATAACATACCTTGACTTTAGCAAGGCTTTTGATACCAACCCCCACAGCATTCTTGCAAGCAAGCTGAGAAAGTATGGGTTGGAAGAATGGACTCTTAAGGTGGATAGAAAGCTGTTTGGATTGTTGGGCTCAACTGGTAAATAATCAAAGGCTCAATGTCTAGCTGGCAGCTGGTATCAAGTGGATTGCCCCAGTAGTCAGTCCTGGGGCTGGTTTTGTTTAATATCTTCATCCCACCTTCCAGATTGTTAATGTAGTGCACCCTCAGCAAGTTCACAGATTAAACTAAACTGGGGAGTGTAGTAGATACACTGGAGGGTAGGGCTAGGATACAGTGACCCAGAAAAATTAGAAGATTGAGCCAAAAGGAATCTCATGAGGTTCAACAAGGACAAGTGCAAAGTCCTGCACCTAGAATGGAAGAATCCCATGCACTGTTACAGCTTGGGGACTGACTGGCTAAGCAGCAACTCTGCAGAACTGGAGCTAGAGGTTACAGTGGACAATAAGATGGATATGAGTCAGCAGTGTGCCCTTGTTGCCAAGAAGACTAACAGCATACTGGGCTGCATTAGTAGGAGTGTTGCCAGCAGATTGAGGGAAGTTATTATTCCACTCTGTTTTGCACTGGTGAGGCCACATCTGGAGTCCTGTGTCCAGTTTTGGGCCTCCTACCATAGAAAGGATGTGGACAAGTTGGAGAAAGTCTGGTGGAGAGCAGTGAAAATGGTTAGGGGGTTTAGGTGAGAAGGTTACCTAGAGAGGTGGTGGAATCTCCATCCTTGGAGGTTTTTAGAGCTCAACTTGTCAAAGCTCTGGCTGGGATGGTCTAGTTGGGGCTGGTCCTGCTTTGAGCAGGGGGCTGGACTAAATGACTTCCTGAGGTCCC